CTGAGAGTTGCCGCTGTCGGCGACCTCTCGAGCTAGGATGATCACGTGGGCGACTTGATGAATAGAGGGTGATGTGGTAAGGTTGGAATGCCCACTGTGGTGCTTCAATACGGAAGGATGTCGTTTCATGAGCGTTTATAGTCGTAAGAACATTCTGGATCACTGCTGTTGCGTTGAGCATATACAATTAGAGATAGAGTAGGAGGGAACTTCCACTCTTGTGCCGTCAGAGGGACATGTGGAGCGCGACAGAGTAGAATTGTTATTTGAGTGGTGGTACTGGGATTGGAACCGGGGACCTTTGGGGCGACCGCACTCTGCATCGGTAGAACTTGTATTTCTCGTTATGAGGTCCGCACCTAAGCTTCAGGGGTATGCTCTCATTCAATTCCGGTAGGGAGAGGTGAAATTTGATTACGACGCAAACTCGTTGGTCCACAGGGAGTTCGGTAGAACGTCCAATGTGACCGCCAAAATTCAGAAGAGGCGGGAGGAGTTCATTAAAGAGAAGTTCCCGTATTTTCGTGGCGCAGTGACGGACGAGATGCCTAAACGGGGGAGGAAGTGATAACACACATGATGCTGTTTCCTATGGTTAGCGATGGGAGAAATAGCTGCTGAGGTCAGGTCCGGAGGCCACTTTGTGGACCCTTCTATGGAGCCTCTTAATCTGGATGGCAACGATTCAGTGCATGATGGGTATGTGAAGCAGAGGATGGATCAAATCGATGACGATTTCGTCGATCATTTGGTTAGAGAGGGAAAGACGGGAGGAGGTAGTAGTTGTAGTAGAATGGCGCATACTGCAAGTCTCTTTTTTTCAGATATGTTCCAAACCTTCGAAGCTCACCTTGCAGCAATAGCAGACTTTAAGGCTACTAAGGTTGCGGTGATAATAATGGGAGGGGGTGAAGTTGAGACATATTGAATTCTAAGCGAGGGGGTTTTACTCGTAACGCGTTATAGGGTAATGGACATTAGTGATGGCTACTAAGTTGAGGAGGGTTAAGGGGTCGATGGTATACTGATGTGGTAGTAGAATTGGGCGATGGATGGTATTTAGGCTAGGACCCAACGAGAGGCCCATATTAAGAGAATAACACAAGTTGAGTACAACCCTTTGCATGGTGGAGATGGCCAGGCACGATTGATGGAAGCTAGTGAGGTGGTATGGGGAGGGGCTTTTGTTGGCGAGATGGATGATGACGATGGGGCAGGAAAGTGGTATCGATCCTTCGTATCGGCGTAGAGATGATTATCACTCTTAAATGCTATGGGGAAATATGTAGATCTGAATATAGAAAAGAGTAGCTTGAATATGAAGTCGTCGGTCGAGTTTGATTATGTCAGCCTCCATCCTATGCTTTGGAAGGCGACAGGAAGCCGCTGTTGCCTGCTGAGCAACATGC